ACTATTATTGAATTTGAAATTATTATAGATCGTTTATCAGTCTGAATAATGTTACGGGTGTCCCAAGGAGTTATTAGTTAGGCGGAAAATATGTCACGTAGGCCTAAGCTAACGCCTTGAGAGGACGCGACGCTGGCTGGCCCTCAGTCGCGGGGAGGATTCATACAAAACAAGACGTCCCTGCGCGTCCGTCACAGAAATAGTCACGTGGCCTAGTCACCTGTGTTGCGCTATTGCCGTATAACAAGTAAGTCTCATGCGATCTCAGACAGGGTTAGATAGGGCAGTGGTAAAGTAAACTAGAGCTAACAGTGAGTTCATTTCAGGGTTTCCGTCAGAACCCACTTGACTGGAGTTGACCGGAGTTGACTGCGAGAGATTGACTGCCGTTGATGATTGAGGGTGGCGATTGTCGCCATTGGACCAATCAGTGTAGGCCTGTCACTGTTTAGCGGGGTAGCAAAGGATCTCTTGAGTGAACGAGTGCTTCCGACAACTAAAACGACGGGACCAGCATCCACAGTGGGTGATCAGTTCTTACCACTCGGGTGCACAACACCACATGTCCCGAGCAGCTTAGTGAAACGCTCTTGCTAACGGGAAGCTAAAGTTTCTCTCAACTGTACAAGGTCTGATTGGCTCACTCCCTTCCGCTTTATGGACGCACTGGGAGTACACTGAGGCTATCTGAGTAAACTAATGGTCACACACTGAGACCGTGAGTCTAGGTCTCTAGGAGATACCTAGAGGAACATCTTCCCTCCTTTATTACGGGTGTAGTTAACAACATTCCTCAGACTAATATTATCTTGACGTGTGTAGTTTAATAGTCCTAAATAATTTTGATAGTATTGTTTTTGAATGTTTGTGCCAATAAGTGGAACCAGAGTGATACTGTGATTTGATTCTTTTAATGCATCTAATTGTTCTTCATAATTCTGATCTCAGGTATAACCTTGTTCCCCAGAGTAGTGGTTAAGTTAGGTTAGGAAGTGTGCATCTGTTGGGGTGCTATTATTTTGTTGAAAGCCCGTAAGGCCTATTCATTGTAGAGTATTTAATTTCTTATTTTTATTACCATTTCCTCAGTGACTGATATTATTTTGTTGAAAGCCCTTAAGGCCTATTCATTGTAGAGTATTTAATTTCTTATTTTTTATTACCATTTCCTCAGTGACTGATATTATTTTGTTGAAAGCCCTTAAGGCCTATTCATTGTAGAGTATTTAATTTCTTATTTTTTATTACCATTTCCTCAGTGATTGATATTATTTTGTTGAAAGCCCTTAAGGCCTATTCATTGTAGAGTAGTTAATTTCTTATTTTTTAATACCATTTCCTAAGTGACTGATATTATTTTGTGAAAGCCCTTAAGGCCTGTTTCATGTGTGCAAGCAACATTTCTTAATACTTCAAATTTATTGTTGCCTGTGTTTCTAATAATTTCTATATCATGTATAATTTTTAGTCCCCAGAGTAGTGTTTTAAGTTTAAGTTAAGAGGTGCGCATATTGGTGTACCATTATATGATTGTGTTTGTAGTGTTGGAGGGAATATAAGTGTCTAAATTTTACAGTGTGTCTCATTCATCCCAGTCACAGACGCTATCCTTCCACGGGTCACGGACAGTTCATTTTGTTTCGTAGATTTAAGTGTTCTTGTGCTGGTTCGGGATTTTTCTCAAAGGGGCGCTTCCACTGCCATTACCATCTATTAATTTTTAATAAACCCCAAGTCAAGTGAGAAATTAAAGTCCAGTAAATTCTGACCGGTTATATATATATATATATATATATATATATATATATATATATATATATATATATATATATATATATATATATATATATATATATATATATATATATATATATATATATATATATATATATATATACACCACATATAAATCCAGTCAAGTATATAACACATGGTTTTTACGTGCCTTGAGAATTTGCAGTCCGGAATTCATCGATGAGGAATACAAATATATATATAATATTGGCTCAAACCTTAAATACCCTAGATCTTTCATAGACAAATGCTTAAACATTACTAAGAAAACTTTTTATAGAACTGACCCCAAGCCCACCCATGACCATAAGAATATCTTAATATTACCATTTCACAAAAATTTCTCACACATTCCTGCACAGCTAAAAACCTGGAACGTCAATGTGGCATTTAAAAACTCATGCACTGTTAAACAAATGTTAATCAAGAACTCCCCCAACAACACAATTGGTTGCATTTATAAAGTTCCTTGCAAGGAATGTAATATGTTTTACTTAGGCCAGACAGGTAAAGATCTTGCAACTAGAATTAAACAACACAAATACAGTGTTAGGATAGGCCAGGAATCCAATGCTCTGTTTGTTCATTTGAGGGATAACAAGCATTGCATTGACTGGGATAATGCCTGCTCAATATTACCATGTAATTCAATTGATAGTAGGAACATCATAGAATCTAGTCTTATTAAACATACCGAAGCATTCAACATGAATTTGAGTAACGGCATGTACAAGCTGGACAATTTTGTAATTAAGAAGATTTGTGATCAGGTGAGAAGGCCGGGTCACTTGACCATCTGACCTGACCACCAACCGTTGTGTGCTATTTAAAGATTAGTAGGGTCATTACCTAATACCTGACCATTGTGGACCTGGTCTCACCCTCCTCTGTATATATACACCTTGATTTGTATTACTCTCTCTAGTCTGTACTCACCCCTGAAGATGTGAATTACACGAAAGCGCTTGGGAACTTCGTGTTTTCTTCTTTCCTTGTGGTTATCAGCATATACCTAGATCACGCGCACCTACAGTGATTTACTTGCATATATATATATATATATATATATATATATATATATATATATATATATATATATATATATATATATATATATATATATATATATATATATATATATATATATATATATATATATATATATAGGGATTCTTCTTTTTCTTTTATTCAGGAACATTTCTTGTGTTTAGAAGAGGTAACCGCTAATGCCCGTCAGTTGTTTTCCTCCCCTGATCCAACTCTCTTGCCCAAGACCCCTCTGGGCAAGAAGAAATCTCGACTGAAGAAACCTCATCACTCATCAATTGCAGGCGAGATTTTTTATGGGAATCCTTGGGAATTGTCTCAGGTTTTTAATAAATTATGGTTTATTTAATTTACATTTATACAATTCAAAAACTGATACAGTAGGTTCAGTGAAAAAAATATTCAAGATGGAAAGTACAGTACTGTACAGTAGAACCTTGTTATTTTCAACTCGGCTAATACAGATTTTGCCTAATTCAAACTTTTCTCAAGCATGAACAGATAATTTCTACTTCGAACCAATTGCCTATGTTCAATTTATATCATCCTGATTTGAACCTAACCAAATTAAGGCCAAAATTCCAGCTGTAAAAATCTGTTGTTGATCAATCCAAGTACAGTCCTATTAGCTTTGCAAATTAATGATGAGTTCAAATGAGGAAAATTCAGAGGAAAATATAAATCTCTAAGCACAACAGGCAAACTGAAAAATATTTAAGAACTTGAGCAATAAAACCAATAAACACCACAGTTGTTACATGCATTTTGATCCATGTCTTGCTTACCGTACCCCTAGATCTCACTCCCAGGCCGGGGGGGGTGTAACTGTTCCCCACTTGTGAGCTACAGTATATATTATGTTATGGGTATTTTTCAGCTTGCTGTTATCCCACATTTAGCAATAATTTTACTCGAACGTTAGGTTTTCAAGATGAGGGATACAGTGAGTTCTGCTATAACGCGTGTTTTGACAACGCGAATTGGCTCTAACGCGATTTATGAATAGAGGAACGATATTTGTATAACTCGAACGCTTGTTTGCTGTAACACGATTTTGCTAACTATTTCTCCAATTTTGTGGCATTAACTGTGAATATGGTAAAGAAGAATATCTCCAAGAAGTGTTCTGGTGATCGCATTCCCGGTGATGATCGTAAAAGAAAGGCTATAACACTTGAAGAGAAGCTCGATGTTATCAACCTCAAAATCACCCTTCTCCCCCATCAAGTTATATTCATATTTTTTCAAGGTAAAGTGTTACATTTACTGTATGATTTCATTATTAGATATGAATGTAACATTTATTTAGACTGTGCTATCCTTTGTGTTAGGCTAACTACTAAATTTTTTTCGATTTTGAGTAGTAATCTGCACCTAACCCTATTTTCTCCATAAGCCCTGTTATTTCTATTACACGAATTTCTATAACACGATGTTTTACAAGAACACAACTATCGCGTTATAGCAGAACTGACTGTACATGTATTTAAATTTTATGTAATACAGTACTGTAGTAAGTAGTAAAATCCCCTCCTTCCCTCCTATTTTTAAATTTATGGCATTCCAAACCCCCGTCTCCCCCATTAGTTTGAAATAAAGGGATTATACTCATATTTACAAATATGATCCCATTACAGTATAGTCATAATAAAAATTCAGATCAACTTACGAACTTTCCCAGGTACAATACTGTACTAATGAATACTGTACTGTACTTTGTTCAGCATTATGACTCCACATATTATTTACGGGCTATAATTTGTTATGATTTTATAAGTACCGGTAGGGATGGGTTTTATTTATATTTTATTGTGAATTTTTTATTTATTGGGAGAAGGGGGGGAATTAGCCCACCAGGGCACAGGTCAATGACCCACATCAGGGCCTGGGGGCGAAAATATAATAATAATAAAAAATTAGAAAAAATAAAAATGTGTATGATATACAGTAATACTGATTATAATGATATAATAAATGACAATAGAAAAAAGAAAGGAAAAAAAAGTTCAAGAGTGAGAAACAATATATGTATGCTGTGTTGTCAAAGTAAGAGAAACAATTGAGACCCTGCAATTGTGTGTAAATGAGGCAGAAAGTCAGTTCAGCAACCTGGGACTTGGTCACAATTTTTGTGGTGCCATATGGCAGCAGAGTCTACCATTAGACAACACATTATGCTGCCAATATCTTCCCAGGTGGTAGTACCTCCATGTTTGGTAGCTGCCTACTACCCATGGTTCTGGGTTCCCAATAAATTTATTTATGAACATGATCTAGGAATGTAACTTGGAATACTGTACTGTACTGTATGTCTTTCCATAGTGTTTGCTGTTTTTATTATTATCATCTTGTATTCCACCTGCATCCCCGCAGAAGATGAAGTATTTTCATCATCCAAGAGGTTGTCCACTTGTAACACAGGAAGCAACATCAATAATCAAAGCCCTCTTGAAACACCCCCAAGGAGGGGCAGAGCTGCATCTCGGGTAATTATCCAAATTGTTACAGGAATAATTGTACTGTAATGATTTTTTTGTTTGTTCTGTTTAGCCATTTCCTGTTGCTGAATACACTGGTCTTGAAAGTATTCTCTGTTAACATCCCTCCTATGAAGTTTTTGTATGTGGAACAATTATTCAAGTGCTTTGTATTTTGTTCCTTCATATTTTTCTCCTCGCTGCAATTTGTATCTCATTAGTAAGGAAGAAATGATAAATAGTTTCTTATTAGTTATCATGTTGGGTACATAATACTGTACACTTGACGCATATTAGCAATGTAAATTTGTGATAAATTTCAAAGAATAATACTGTATTTTCTATAGCCATAACTTGGATTATTTTACTATTTCTGACAGCTCGCTCACGAGAAAATGAAAAGGGTACCTATGACAACAAAAAAGACAAGAGGAACATGTCAGGTTATTTTCAAGGGAGACTCCTTTGAAAGCAGCTCCAGGTATTTATGGACCATTGACACCTTACTTGCCATTTTATAATAACTCAAGTGAATGTTTTATAGGAACTCCATTGGTGTGGCCATGTGGGTGAGAGTAGATGTGGGGTTAAAGTTGTTTGATTAGCTTAGATCAGAGGGCAGACAGAGCCTAAATTGAATATGCAAAATGCCTAGGCAACATTTTCAGTGGTAGCTGTTTTAAGCAAAGTAATTGTCTCAGGTATATGAACTCTAAAGTGACAGATCTTGTAACTACCATATCCATATTAACGTACTGTGGTAAACTTGTGGAATTTGGCCAACCATGTGATGTTAAAATACTTAAGAAAATATATATTTATGTACCTGTAGTCTATGTAATTTACTGATTTATGCCTTTTTTTCAGTTATAAAGAAGAAGTAAAAGGAGCAGACTCTGGTCATGGGGAAAATTGTGAGTCTCATTTTGAAGAGATGGAATATGAATCAACTGTTGATCCTTGTGAATCAGCTGTTAATCCTTTAGCACTAGACACACCAAGTAAGAAGAATGATGGTGTAAAATGTCTAAGTGTTAAAGTCAGTCTTGAAAGATTATCTCATTTACACACATCTCAAGAAGTAG